CCAACTCTGTCTCACTTTATCGCCCTCGGTAGGGTGCCATGGCATCACAGCTCACAGCAACCTCCAACTCCTGGGCTTAGGCGATTCTCTTGCCTTAGCCTCCCAAGTAGCTGGGACTACAGGCGCCCGCCAGAACACTCAGCTATTTTTTTGTTGCAGTTTGGCCATTGCCGGGTTCAAACCTGCCACCCTTGGGGCCAGTGCCCTACCCACTGAGCCACAGGTGCTGCCAAACTGAATATTTCTTAAAGGTTTTTTTTTGTTTTATTTTGTTCTGAGACAGAGTCTCACTCTGTTGCCCTGAGTAGAGTGCCGTAGCATCATCATAGCTCACTACAACCTTAAACTCTTGAGCTTAAGTGATCCTCTTACCTCAGCCTCCCAAGTAGCTGGGACTACAGGCGCCTACCATAAATCCAGCTAGTTTTTCTATTTTTAGTAGAGATGGAGCCCCCCTCTTACTCAGGCTGGTCTCAAACTCCTGAGCTCAAGCAATCTACCTGCCTTGGCCTCCTAGAGTGCTAGGATTACAGGCATCAGCCACCATGCTGGTCTTATTTCTAGAGTTTTTAATATAAAGACCCATAAGGAGAAACAACTCCTCTATTGACAAGCCCATTCAACTCCATTTGTGTCTAATATTTCCCATGATTTGAGATAATTTGTAATTATTCACCGTAGTTACGAAATACATCTGTACTTTCTGCAAGGGAAAAATACAAATTTTGGTTCAGACCTTAACTTGAATCTGTGCTGGACTTCTTTATTGCTTTGAGAGTGAAATCCTAAAAAGCTAGGAGTTTTTTTTAAACTTTGATTTTCAGTTTGCATTTGAATTAATACATGGCTGTTGGTGTGAGATGGGACCACATGCATGTGGTTTGGTGTTTTTATAACATTGTCCCTGCTTTCGTTGCCTTTTAGATTGTAATACAGATTCCTTCGCCTGGGGATAGTAGTGGTTGGCCAGATGGTTATGAAGATCTGGAGTCAGGTGATAATGGATTTCCAGGAGATATGGATGAAGGAGACGCTGCCTTATTCAGCCGACCGGAGATCGTGGTGGTATGTGCTTGTTGTCAGTGGGTAGTTCGGAGGGAATGTAGTCTATTTTGTTGGTTTTAGTTAAGGACAGTCAGAAAATAACATCAGATGTTAAAGGGCAGAGCCCATAGATGATTTGTTCTCATCATCTGTGTTCTTTTTCCAGTTTAATTGCAGCCTCAGGCAGGTGGGGAATCCCAGTAGCTTCCAGGACCAGCTCCACGGAAACATCACCTTCAACATGGAGCTGTACAACACTGACCTTTTCCTGGTGCCCTCCCAGGGGGTCTTCTCTGTGGCAGAGAATGGACCTGTTTATGTTGAGGTGAGACCAGAGTGTTAGCTTTGGGCTTTTAAATGAGTGCTGAGTTCTAATTCCCCCAGCAGTAGCTGAAGCACCCCAGGCAGACCTCCTCCCGCCCCTCCTCATGGACCTCAGCTAGCTGTGATGAGGGCTTGGCTCAGAGAACATTTCCAGGTTGATTTCTGATCAAAGGAGGACGTTTCAGAATTAGCACATGATACTAAATGGAGAGTATGCTTTGTCAATAATGTTTTTTTTAAAAATTGGCAGGAGTATAAATTCTACTAATCAAGCCCTGTCTTTGCCTAGTCCTTAGCATTTGTGAAATAGTAGTTCAGCGGTTGCAACGTCAGGGTTAACCACAGAATATTTCAAACCACCTCATGTGTTGTCTTTTAAATTGTACTCACTTTTAAGTGAAATGTTTCCCTGCTTCTCTAAATATTGTTTTTCCTAGATCATCATCAAATTTATAAATATTTGTATAAATTGATTAAAACCTTTTCTTAGATATAATAGTGATAATAACATGAGCATAGCATAAATATGAAATGACTACAAAATAATAGGTAGTGGTGGTAGTTATTTTATAATAAAATAACAGCTAACATTTACTGTAGACTTACATGCCAAACAGAATGGTAAGTATTGTCGAAATCCTATGAGGCAGCACTAATAATATCTCCATTTTGTGACTGAGAAAATCGAGGCACTGACTTGTCTTTCATAGTTACCAAATTTAGCAACAAAAAATGTAGATGAAATATGAAAAGATATAAATGGGAAAAGAAGAATGAAAAAAAACCTATGAAAAACAGATTTCAAGTAAGCCAGTGCTGTAGGCATTGGGATGCGGGGGAGGCTTAAAGTATTCAGGGTAAGATACACAAGAAAGATTGACCACTGATTAGCGTAAGCCAGCAAAGTTATGAAGGTCACGCAGCTGGTACCTAGGCGAGTTCAGATTCAGAGCTCTTACTCAGGCCTTCTGTCTCTAGCACTCATACTCTTCTCCACTGGATGCTACGATCATTTCTCCTTGAAGTGCTGTTTGAAAGGGGAGAAAACATAACCTCATACCAGTGCAAATGCCTAGCTTCACCGAGTGGATTCTAGGAAGATAGACCTCCTTGTGGCTCCAGGATATCTGTTGTTTCTTGTGCCCTGAGAACTACCTTTAGTGTTTCAAGTGGACACGTTGTCTGCTGGTCTTTAAGGGAAAGTCGTTATCTGATGAGCAGGTGTTTGGTACAGAGCTGCAAGCTGGTCATCTTCTTCACAGTGGGAAGGGTGAGAAGCTTAAGGGCTAAAAGTGGGGTTACTTCCGTATGTTAAAAGCAACTTCGGTGCACATATTTCACTATATCACTCTCAGTAGAATGCTGTGACATCACAGCTCACAGCAACCTCAAACTCCTGGGCTTAAGTGATTTTCTTGTCTTAGCTTCCCAAGCACCTGGGACCATAGGCGCCCGCCACAATGCCCAGCTATTTTCTGTTGCAGTTGTCATTGTTGGTTAGCTGGCCCGGGCTGGATTTAAACCTGGATTTCTCCACTGGAAAATATTCTGCTTCCTACGTGCTGTTCCTAATTGTAGGTCTCTCCTGCTCCAAGACTGCTGCTTTCCTCCTGATTTCCTGGCTGTCCAGTCCACACGTGAAGTGGATTTCAGGGGTGCTGCATAAGCGCAGCTTGTCCTTTTCCAAACATGTGCCTGGCTTTGATAATTCATAACTTTGCTGGCTTACGCTAATCAGTGGTCAATCTTTCTTGTGTATCTTATCCTGAATATTTTGAGTCTCCTCCTCTCCTAATGCCTGCAGTGCTGACTTACTTGAAATCTGTTTTTCATAGGGTTTTTTTTTTCATTCTTCTTTTCCCATTTATATCTTTTCATATTTCATCTCCATTTTTTGTCGCTAAATTTGGTAACTATGAAAAAGACATTGTCAAGTAATGAAAAAGAAATGGACTCAATCTTTTTGCTACCATTTTAAATATCAAGTACATTAAAGAGAGTTTGGGGAGAAGGAAAATGTTATAAATTACTCTATTTTAAAGATGTTTTAAACTATGATATATATATATATAAATATATAAGACAGAACCTGTAAATGTTTTGCTAATTAGGATAGCAGCAGTGCCAAATCTTTGTTTCTCAGTTTGGACTCCACTACTGATAGGAAAGTTTTTTTTTTTACTATAGTTAAATAAAACTTACATAAACAACTATAATAACTATAAACAACTGTTAATTACCCCCCAAATTTTAAGTCTAGAATAGTAGTACTAATAATAGGCAGCATTTGTTCACTGGCCACCGTGCTGTTTTCATGGAATTTAACCAATTCTTTTAATAACTGTGTCTCATAGGCACTCGTGTCCTCGTCCCGTAGGTGAGGACACCAAGTCTCAGGGCACACAACACACATTCAGTGAAGCACGTAATTCCACTGGACTTGTCTCACTCCAAAGCCTGTGACTCTTCTGGGTTTTTTTTTTTTTCTTCTTTTGAGACAGAGTCTCACTATATTGCCCTCAGTAGAGTGCTGTGGCATCACAGCTCACAGCAACCTCAAACTCTTGGGCTTAAACAATTCTCTTGCCTTAGCCTCCCAAGTAGCTGGGACTACAGGTGCCCGCCACAATGCCTGGCTATTCTTTTTGTTTGTTTGTTTTCTTTGCTTTTAGCAGGCCTTGGGCCAGGTTCAAACCTGCCAGCCCTGGTGTATATGGCCAGTGCCCTCGCCCTTGAGCTACAGGCACCAAGCCTAAAGCCTGTGACTCTTTTAATACTCATTCCCAGTCTAGAGTAAAAGATACTGTTGATGACATATTTCCCTTCCAATACAACTTTCTGGGATGCCCCAGACACCTGGCCTTACATACTTTGAGGTGAAAGAGCAGATGTGCAGCCATTCTGTTATGTATTTTTGTAATGTATATTCTGCATTCATTTTAAAGGGTACTTTTTAGTAATAGCGTATATGTAATTTGCTATCTTTCCAAAAGAGAATATCTTGTTCTTTAAGAAAAATATTGCAAAAATAATGAAGTGTCAGTATTTACAGAAGATCCCCCCAAGGTGATATTATCGGGATCCTCTTCATCCACAGCTTCCTGCTTCTCGTCATCTCACTGTTGAGCGTCCTGTAGTTGGTCACAGAGGGATCTTTTACCATAGTGCTGTGGAGTCAAAAAGTCCCGTGCGCTGTCAGGGATTTCCCCTGGGTATCTCAGCATGGAAAGTCTGTTTATATCTCCATGTCTTTTGAAGGATTCTGGGGCTATTGGCCTATGAGTAAGGACTAACTTTATTTCTAAAGTGTTTAAGTTTATTTTGATCCGAAGCTTAGTCAAGGACTGAGACATGGGGGGAGGGGCACTTTAACCCAGTGATCTGTGTGTCACCAAATGGAGAATCCAAGCTCGTCTGGGATTTTAGCTGAGTTCAGGATAGTTGAGGTTTGAATTCTATTTACATTTGGCTAAACACTGTTTCCTGTTTCTAAAGAAAAGAACCTTAACAAGATTTGGACATAGCCCATACTAATGTTTTGTAAGAGGGACATGTAAATGAGTCGGAAACATTTCCAGATTAGATTTCTTAAACTACCCCTGGGCTTAAAGAGTGAAGGGAAAGTACTTGGCAAGGCTGGTTTGGATGTGTGAGCAGTTGGGACACTTTGCCAGGCCTGTGATGGCCACCAGATTGCACCATCCCTGACGTCCAGTATCAGGGGCCAGCTCTGCCTTCTTGCTGATGAAGCAGGAGTTAAGATGAATTGGTGGCTTTACTTTAAGCCTGTCCAGGCTTACTCTGACTTGTTACAGTTTAGCTCAGTCTTCCTGGCATAGGTTAAATGGATCTTGCCTCTCTGTTCTCTATTTTTTTTGTTGTTTTGGTTTTATAGCTTTATTTGATGTACCTGACAATCACCAGTTCTTATCCACATTGACTGTTTATAGATTTTTGGAAGTGGCAACAGGTACATAGGTAACCAAAGTATAGAGCTTGTTTTGTGAATCTTCATTACGTTTTCTGGATAACCGTGCACAGATCAGTATGGGACGTTCCTTATGACTTTGGCCCAGACAGCTTTGTTGAGCCTGGTATCAGTGCGCACATCTGGAGTCCCATCTCTTTCAGGGTATATTTCTGGATCTCTTTGCGTGAGGGGCATGCTTCTTGGAGCCACTCCGTGGATGCTCTTCTGAATGTCGATGGTGTATTCTTGAGTCACCACCTCCCTGATGGCAGAATGGCCCTTCTTCTTGCCACCCTTCTTTGAGGGAGCCATTCTGCCAGGCCCAAGTTGAAACGTGTCCTCTATTTTTTGAGCAATTTTTAAAAAGAGTTTGGTTTTCACGTATTACACTATCATGGCATCAGGGGCTTTGCCTATTGGTGTTTTTTGTATTTTGGAAAATTCACTTCAGCTGTGTGGTATGCTTTTCCCTTTCGTCTCTCAGAGGAGATGGATGGGAGATCGAAGAGACACAGCTTGAGTTTGAATCTGCCAGACTAGCATCTGAACTAAATAATTCATTGTCATCATCCATAGCAAGTTTAAATGGCAAATCATCTCTTTAAATGTGTTACTTTTGTAATTAGAAAAAAGGCTATATACAGGGTGGCCATAATGCAGTTTAAAAATAGTGTGCTACTAAAAATTATGGTCGCCCTGTGCGTGTGTTATGAAAATAAAGCAACATCTCATCCAAAGGGCTTTGTGATGCTAACTCATTTCTGAATTCATCTTTCTGTTCTTTTGTAGGTCTCCGTTACTAAGGCTGACCAGGAACTGGGATTTGCTATCCAAACATGCTTTATCTCTCCGTATTCAAACCCTGATAGGATGTCTGATTATACCATCATTGAGAACATTTGTCCTAAAGATGAATCTGTGAAATTCTACAGTACCAAGAGAGTGCACTTCCCCATCCCGCAAGCCGAGATAGATAAGAAGCGATTCAGCTTTGTCTTCAAGCCCGTCTTCAACACCTCGCTGCTCTTTCTTCAGTGTGAGCTGACACTGTGTACCAAGAAGAAGGACCCCCAGAAGTTGCCTAAGGTCAGTGGGCCTTCATCCGTTAGGACTGTTAATTTGGCATTTTCAGATAAGGCAGTGATCTACTGGAGAAGCTTAATTCCAAGGTCTTCCAGGTTGAGGTTTTTGGTTGTAGAACTGCCCAATTGAAGTAATAAAGTCAGAGAGTTAGCAGTGAGTTTTATGAAGTCGTAGGGGATAAATCCTGACAGTATGATTTTTTTTTTTTTCTGTGCGTGCTTAGCATAATACCTTGCAAGTCATAAATCAAGACTGTTTTCCATTGAGGGAGAGGTCTGGCTTTATCTTTGCTTTTCAGATAGTGTGCAGTGCCAAAAGTACAAGTCGAAAGGACAAGTTCAGTGTGAGGATTAATTTTTCCAGGTCCCGCTGAGACTTGTAATTGTTTTTTGACCTTCTCTCTGTGAATTATAAGGTTGACTTGTCTCAGGAGGACCTCTAAGGGAAACTAACAAATATTTCAGTTTTTCTCAGCTTTACATCAGTTCATCGTGTTTGTCTTCTGTCCCACCCCGTGTTCCGTTGCCATAACAAAAATCAGAACCATTTGACCTTGGTGAAGGGTCTACTACAATACAAATTTGCAGGGTTATTATGACACCCCTTTAGGAAAAATATCTTCTGCTGTAGTTTTCTTTCTGTGATCTGCCATAATTATGCCTATTTTCATACATGCTTTTATTCTGTAGTATCTTACACAGTGGCAACTGACTTCTAATCCTTTCATAGTTACGTGTCAATCAATGCCTAAAAGGCTAAGAATCAAGCTGTGTTATTAATGGTGTATGTTTGGGAATTCTCTTGTTTAATACACAGGTTGTTGTAGGTGCAGAGGGTAGGAGAAAAAATTATCCTTGTTGGATGGATTACGATTGATCTGAATCCTTTGCATCATTATATTCCCTGGGCATCCATTTCTCTGATGATGCCAAAAGGAATCTTGTTTACTTATGCAAATACAGCTCACAGTCATTAGGGAGCACTTCTGAGGGGTTTAGACTATATTCATTAGCTTATTTCTGGAAACACTGATGCCTTAGCCACGTGGGCATTCACCTTGCAGTGTCTATCAAGGTTGCAGCTTAGAGGCCGGTGGTAGAGTCTCATAGGGAACTTAATGCTTCGCTCTGGAACTCTGCTGCTTCCTGTAGGCAGAGTGTATCTTTTAGAGGTTGGAAGCCTAGGAAGGGAGGCCTGGAAGTTACTAGGGATCTTTGCTGGTGGCTTTGGCTGTTCCAAACCTGACCTGGAATAGCCCACAAAGTAGCCTACTGCTTCACAATGTAGTAATCTGTGAAAATTAATCCTAACATTTCCTTCCAGAACACTCCTAAGGAGAATTCTAAATCCCAGGGGATGACATGATAGGATACGTATGATCCTAAACCTCAAGTCACCCTTTACTCCCGAGGTAGGATATGATGGAAAGAGCCTAGGACCGAGGAGGAAGGCCTGTTGCTTACCAATGGGACTTTAAGTCCCTGGACCCCTCAGAACCTATATTTTCTCATCTATAAAATGAAATAGACTACCTGGCCTCCCTGCTGGGTAGAGGAGCAAAGGAGACAGGAAATACAACAACTTTCCACCAGGGCCTCAGCAGAGGCTAGGAGGAGCTGTTACCCACTGCCTTCCTGTTTGCTCCTTACACGTACCATTTCCATATTTCTAGTCACTTCTGAGCGCTTCCTATGAAACAGGGCAGCCCAAGCATTTTGTAGGAAGAGTTCTCCAAGATGGTTTGGTCCAACCCCGCTCTTTGCTGATGAAATGGAGGTTCAAAGAGTGAAGTATCTCACCCCGGGTCACCCACTGAGTTAGACACAGAACCCTAGACTCTTCCTCAACTAAAGAACTATTAGGAAAATAAAAGTAAAGTAAAATGTAAATCTTCTCAATAATCATGCCTCGCCACAGAAAATCCCTTGTTTCCTTCTACAATAGGGCTATTGTGAAGGCTTTCTTTCGGGGGTAGGAGGGCGAGTGGGTGCCTGTCTTCCCCTATTTGTCTAACTTGCCTGCCTCTCAGAGCAGCCCTGATGATAAAGATGAAAGCTTTCACTCTTTTGTGACTTGAAGAGATGGAACTTAACTAGCTGTTTGGGATGCCCACTCTAAACTTTGTAAGTGATGTATTTCTTCTTACAACAAGAGTGAATGGGTGTCCTTTATGTTAGAATTTCTCCTATTGGCTGGGCGCCTGTGGCTCAACTGGCTAAGGCGCTGGCCACGTACACCCAAGGTGGCAGGTTCGAATCCAGCCTGGGCCCACCAAACAACAATGACGGCTGCAACCAAAAAATAGCTGGGCGTTGTGGCGGGCGCCTATGGTCCCAGCTACTTGGGAGGCTGAGGCAGGAGACTTGCTTGAGCCCAGGAGTTGGAGGTTGCTGTGAGCTGAGATGCCACGGCACCCTACCCAGGGGGACAGCTTGAGGCTCCTGTCTCAAAAAAAAAAAAAAAGAATTTCTCCTATTGATGACCATAGACAAAAAACAAAAACAAAAAAACCCCAAAGTTATTTTGAAAGAGAAGGTGCTGGAGTATAATCACACATTCTCAAAACAGAGACAGTGGGCCAGGGCATACTTGTTAATAAGTTTGAGGCCTTAAAATAGCCAGAAGCAGCTGATCCTGTAATGTCTACACGTGGGCATAGGTCCCTAGGACCTGGACTTGGGAACATAGATGACTCTGGAAAGTTTCCTTTTGTAAGAGCCTATGCCAGGATTAAAAACTCAACAACATGATTTATCTTCTTGGACAGTATATATAAAATCTGTCACGTTCATAATGCATTACAGTCCCTGAGTTGTGATGGTTCAACTTAGGATTTTTAAAATTTATAACCATGCGACAGTGATACATATTCAATAGAAACTTCGAGTACCCATGCATCCTTTCTGTCTTGCCCTTTTACTACAGTATTCAACGAAGTACATAAGACTTTCAACACTTTTATCATAAAATAGACTTTGTGTTAGATGATTTGTTCAACTGTAGGCTCATTTAAATGTCTGAGCTCATTTAAGGCAGTCTAGCTAAGCTATGATTTTTCTGTAGATGTATTAAATGCATTTTCAACTTATGATATTTTGGACTTACAGTGGGTTGTTAGGCTCTATAACCCATCATAAGTTGAAGAGTGCCTATATGGGAAGTGTCCACGATCACCGTTTATAGGAAGGCAGCTTGGGCTAACATTAGACACGTAATTTCTTTATTTTTCAAACTAACACTAAAACTTCTAGTTATGTTGTGGGGAAGGGCTGGGGAAAAGGACAATATTTATGTGCCATCCAATGATATTTGCATCTCCAAGTGCAGCTGTGAATACACTGGGCCTGCCACAGTATTGCCCAGAATATTTGGGGTTCTTTGAAAAGCACCCAAATCTGTTTTCCTGTGATGAACAGCTGTGAGCTATCTGATAAAAGGCCACGGACAGCTGTGCAGGCCCTCCTGAGTGACCCCAGACTCTGCTTTGCTCATCCTCCCTGCAGTGTGTGCCTCCCGATGAAGCCTGCACCTCTCTGGATGCCTCGATGATCTGGGCAATGATGCAGAATAAGAAGACATTCACCAAGCCCCTTGCTGTGATCCACCATGAAGGAGAACCTAGAGGTACGTTCTGGGGCGGGGGGGCTAAGGGCTGCTCATTTAGAAGATCTAGTACTGTAAGTCAAAATCTAGTTTTGTACACAAGATAATTTAAGGGCCAATTAGTATCTTTAGAAGAGGATTTTTTTTTTTTTTTTTAACCTAAAGAAGTCTTCTTTCACTGGTTCTCTGCCATGGTGGCTGAGCTGTGACACATTTGCAAATGATTTTCCTCTTGTGAAAAATCAGATCAAAGTGGCACTGGTGGCTCAAGGAGTAGGGCGCCAGCCCCATATACCAGACGTGGAGGGTTCAAACCCGGTCCCAGCAAAAAAAAAAAAGACAGAGATCAGATCAAGGTCAAAGCTGCCCCTGTCATATGTTAATCTCCCTATACTCACATATAATTTCTTGAATCTGCAAAAAAGAATTACAGCATCCTGGGGATTGCAGACAACCCACAGCCCACCCATCTTTGTGTAATAGTTATGCTGACTATAAGCTATTATATTGCTTTGTTAGAATTGCACATGCCTTTGAGAGAAGGTATCATGTATGTGAGCATTATTCATCTTAGGTGCCATAGCAAAAAGAAGACGGAGAACCACTGCCAGATGCATTTTATAATTCAATTTTCAGAATTTTGCATAATCACGTCTGTTGTTTGAAGCAAAGGGTGCCTCTTCCTACATGTGCAGGCACATTCAACAAACCACGTCTTCTAGGAGAAAAAGAAAGATGTGCCCTAAGAAATGTGACATCAGTGCTCTGGGGACAGGCAGAACAGAGCTAGACCTGGCATGGGCCAGGCCAACCAAACCCACAGAGCAGCAGAGCTGGGCCCTACAGGGGATGTTGGGAATGGATAGCAGGCCTGTGGACTGTGTGGAGAGCATCCACCAGGGACCCACATCACAGTTACCAGGGCATGAGCAAGCGAGGACACACTGCGCAGCTGTCAGCATCTAGAATGGAACTAAATGTCACAAGGAATGTCTAGGCAAGTGCCATTGTCACTGTCTAGAGACATTGCTATCTGAGAGTGTCAAACTGAGAGAGAAGGCTGGTGAGTGAAAGTGGGTTCCAAGCCTGCACGGTTAGATATTTTAGAAGGGCTGCAGCTGCAGGCTGCTGCTCACCACCCTAGGGGCAGAAAGGAACCCAGGCACTGGTGGCCTTAGCAGAAGCCACGAGCTGCCTGGCTCTAGTTGCTGGGCATTAGCTGGGACACTTGCTGGGTGGTGCTGATACCAGATCTAGGGTTTGAAGCAGCCTTGGGCTGGCATTTCTGATCTGAGTATTGTTGGTTGGGATTTGGTGAGACGAGACTGGGCAGCAGGGGTGACCCTGGATCAGGCAGAAACTCCCAGAGCAGAGGCATAAGGGTGCTGTCCTGTTTCTTATTTGGTTGAGTGACCTTTATGAAAATAGCAGTGCCATTCCAATTGTCGTATCTGGTGGTGGAATTTGCCCGCTTCCCAGCAACCTGCTCCCTTCAGAAAGGCAGGAGAGTGTAAGGGGAGGGCTCTGGCTTGGAGCCAGGAGTCAGAAGTGGCCCTGCTCTTAGTTTTCTCTGCCAGCTCGCTGCTGGACCCGGGAGAACCCCCCCCCCCATCTCTTTGGGTTTCATTTTCTTTCTCTGGAAAGAAAGGGGTTTGGCCCACATGACTGCCAGAGGCCCTTTCAACTGTAATACTGAATTTGCTGTTTGAAGAAGCAAAATAATCTTTAATTCATTTCCTGGCCATCTTAAAGTTGGTGTGAAATGTACACGTTAGATGTTTATTGGTTTCTCAGCAACGACGTTTTTGTTGTTGTTTGTTTTACTTTTATTGGTTGGTTTGCAACCATTTGAAAGTTGTAACAGTCATAGTCCTTGTTTAAAAGGATTGCCCAAATAGTTCCTTTTTATGGGTTACAGGGGAAAGAAATAAGAATAAATTGTGTTACAGAGTAATCACAACTGGGCAACAGCTGGCTCTGTTTTGTACTGTGAGAGTCGTTTAACAATAGCGGCAGCTACCTCGGACTCCATCTGTTACTCTTACCTATTTTGAGAGGTAATTCTGCTGGTAATTGAAGGCAGCAATTTGCTTTTTCCCATGCCAGACAATAATTAGGCCTTAATATTACAGCTGTATAACTTCCAGCAATTCATTCATTCTTTTTTTGAGTCTGGTGGTATTTTTCTAAGTAATTTCTCTTGTAAATTAGGTAATTACTTTTATTTAAACTTCGTGTGTAATTATATTGAAAGTTTAATGTTTTCTTGCATAAAAGTTCAAGAGGAAAGTTTTACCAAATATCAAAACAATTTTATGAGATTTGCTAATTGAGACTAGATTTTAGGAGAGAAGCATGTGGGCGAGGGAAGTTTATTACTCAGGTTTGTTAAACAAAATGAGGAGCTTAAACTGCAAGCCAGCTTCCCAGGGGCTGTGTGCAAACCGGCTTTCTACCTTTGCTCTGAATCTCTCCGTAGGTTTTCTGGCCGGTCCTCAGCTCTGGGTGTGACTCCTCTTACCTTTTATGTTTGTTTTCCTTTGACTCTGAAATAGTTTCTCCTCGGCGCAGAGCACTGGAGTCTGCCCTCTCTCTGCCTCACGGTGAATTGGGAGAGTCATTTACAAAGGGAATGTGGCTGTTTACCTAATAATTGGCTTATATGAATAACAACAGGGTCTCACATGTTCTGCCTGCTGGACAGCTTTGAGTCTGTTTTTTGTAGTATCTCTGGGAATAGGCACATCACTAACTATGGGATTAACTTTTGGGGTAAAAATTTCCCAACCAGTGGGCTGCTTCACTGACCTTCTATACACAGGTACTCTTTGAAGGCCATGCCCAAACCCCAGTTCTCCCTGGTCATTCAACTCATCTTATTTTCAATAATTGTGTCTTCTGGGGCAGCAGATAAAGCCTCTGGCTGGCAAGTCACAGGCAGGCAGAGAGCTGCTCTGTGGCCACTGCTGCCAGCAGCACCGACAGACTTCCTTCTGTGGACAGGAAAAGTACATCATGACTCAATCAATCACTCTGGGCTCCTCCTCTGGGCCACAGTTTTTAATGGAACTTTCACTGGGTTAGCATCCTTCTTCTACTTAAACTTTGACAATAGATGATGGTGTTGGAGATGCAGATGAGGATCTAACATTTATTAAGCATTTACTTTGTACAAAGCTCTGTGCAAAATGCTTTATGTGAATTATCACATTTTATTTGACATATAAATGATAGATCTGGGGTTCAAGGCCAGGCATTTTGATTCCAGAGCCTGTCCTCTAAATCCTATGCCTTATCCCAGATGGAGGTTAATTCTAGTTTTTATACCTACAAGCAACATAGGCAACTCTCTCTTCACACCCCTCTTCCTACCCTACTTTCCCTTCTTCATACCATATCTCATTGACATTCAAAGTTAACACCCAAATATA